AGATTATAGTTACGGTTCAATGTTAATTTAATAATTGATGTATTCACTAAGTTAATTTTGAGAATAAAGCATAAGTGACAAACTGGTTCAACAAATAGGCTTTATCTTAATGAAGTGAAAAATAAATAAAAATATTAACTACCACTGAAGCTTCCAAATTAATGATTTCCTAAAAAATGACTTTCCTGTGGAAGCCAATTCATGAACAGTGTGAAAGCATTTCAGTGTTCATATGGACTAATATGAGATACATAAGAATGGGCAAATAGGAAAACATTAATTGTACAGCTAAATTAAAATGAAATTCATTTTTTATCATATTCTCTAAACATGGGATTCCTATAGCATTGCAGGAAAATGGAAGATGCGTGATACTCAGAAGAGAGATAGTTATTTCTGGAAATAATGCAGCTAAACCTGCCTTTGTTTCGTGGTCAGATGCACTCTGATGATTATTCTCATCTTTATGACATTAAAAATAGTTACCGATAATCAGTAACTATAGCTTAAGAGGTCTTGTGTCTTATACTATAAATACAGCCTTGAAAATACATGTTATGCACAATATACATAAGGACATTGCTTTCACACAGTTGAAAAGGAGAGAACATAAGGCACATAAAGTACACTCTTCTGTTCACAAATGAAAAGTGATGATGAGTTAAACATGATGAAATTAGGACTACAGTTATTCTTCATCGTTCAAAGAAATTTAAACTTTTTTTAAAAAACTGATATCTTAGAAAAGATTAGGAGTCAATTCTGTGTTTCAAATAAAAATAGTGAAAATTTGATAAAAGAAGCATATTAATACATTTACTGATTATATAATATTTTAAGTTTTAAAATCCTTTCAGGAACATTCTGACAAAGAAAGTGGCAAAAATTATGACATGTAAACATAACAGGGACTTAAAAAAACACCAAAATGAAGGCCCTCCACACCATTCAGAAGACAGACTCTTTAGTAAGAAATTATGATTGTCAATAAATATTAGAGCAATATTGAGCTGGAATGAAGAACAGGAATATATGGTTAATTGTTCTCATTTTATGAAAAAAATTTATGAAGAAAATTGTGATGGTCCCTAAAAATTTTAATAGACTTTATATTCTGCTCTATATTTACTTGTAATTTGCCTCTACAAAACCAAAATTCTTTAGAGAAGAGGCTAGGACTGCAACATACTACTCAGTGTAACCCACAGTAGGAACTCAGTTTTTAATAAATAAATGAACTGAATACAGAGTTGGGGTAAAGGATAGGTATGAATTTGATCAGAGGCATTGTCTATAATTTTAGTTTGATTTAAATATTAAGGAACATGTTCAGATGGATAAATTAAATATTCTAGTAAGTTATCTAGATTAGATAGCTTATATAATATTTCTCCATTAATAAAATCAGGCAATTTATTTAAAAATCCATACTGAAAAACAAACTTTTTATTGTGCATTTATAAATTTAGAGCCCAAAGTCTTATGTGAAATTGAAAAGTCATACTTCTAAAACATTCAGTTATTTATTTTAGACACACAGTCAGACAGACCTGCCTTGACCTCTTCACCCTGCTTTTCTCCCCACTGCTCTTCCACATGCCCAGTTTCTTCATTAACTTCTGTATTTGCACGAGTAAAGAAAAAAATAATACCAGATATGTATATTTGTTACCTTTAGTGACAAAAAATTTCAAATTATTCATGATATAATGAATGACTATAAGGAGCTTAATAGATTATTTTTAATGAGTTTCTCACATGTTATGGAAGCAAATAAGTATTCTATTAATAAATTATCATATTATCTCCTTTTATGATGGCTTTGATTTGTGAAAGAGAAATTGTAGCCCCTAAAATATTTGCATATGTGATAACTGTGTAAAGTATGCAAAATATTCTGTCTATAAACTTGATACATTCTTAGAAAAATAATATATTATCTTTTCTTCTACAGAACCAAAAAAAAAATGATATTACAAACTCTCTTTTATTTTCACAAAATGCCAGGACATCAAAGTTAGGAGAAAATTTTAAAAAATATTAATGCCTTAACAGTTGTTTAGCACATTGTACTTTTCTTATATTGCCCCTATTTTTTCTGGTTCTCAAACAAAGAGAAGATAACCAATATTGTACCATCATGAAAACCAACATATCCAAGGTTTTAAATTAACTTACTTAACAGACTAAAATATAACCAAAATCAAAAGGAGTTAAAAGTAGGAGTTACTCATTTTTTAGTTGTTGAACAGGATGAGAAAAATAAACACGTCATTACCTTGATTTTAAAATAATGCCATTAAATTACTTCTGACAACTTTTTAAGAGATAATCCAAACATCATTTGATTTAGACGACCAACTGATAGCCTGTTTTGGGTTATGCACCTTTAACTTCAGCCGGAATTTGAAAACTTCTAAAAGAGATATTTTGTATCTCCATTAAAGCTAAAGAAAATTACACAATTATGTACCTGCTGAAGTCTTCATATCAACATTTACAAAAACACTGCTGAAATCATTCATACGATCAAGCAAAACAAAACAAACAAAAAATCCTTTTATCTCATACTGGAAATGGTAAGGGAGGTTTTAGCTCTCCTTCCTTTTACTTATAAAAAAAAAAAATCACAAAGAAAGGGGATATTAAAGGAAAACCATGGTTTTAATAGATTCTATAGGGCAAAAACTGATGGCATATACAATGTTGGTTGACAAGCCCATTAAAAACTTCCTGAACCCCGACTTTCAGCATTAGCTCTATGTTGACTTTCTGGTAGGTTTATTATTACAAAGAACAGAACTACTCACATCTCAACAGAGTATTGCTATAAAAGATATTAAAGCTGAATTTTTTAAAAAGTTGTGACATAAACTACGTTTCTGACTTCATATGCCAAGTGAAGTCAAACTCTGTCTTTAAAAATCCTGGGGAGACAAAAAATTTCCTACGTACCACAGAACTTTCTTTCTGGAAAGTACTTTTTAAAATTATATAACCCATTCTAATGCAAATAATTAAGAACTACAGAAATGCTGCTGTAATCTCCTTGTCAGACAGCATAAGAAAACATTAGTCATAATAGCATGGAGTTGCTTAAAATCATGGTACGTAGGATAGAAAGAACCTCAATATAGAAGGCCATAAATCACTCAGTAACTAACAAAAACACAACTGTTCCAAGTTATATAAAGCAATAAAAGTATTGCTTCCCAAATGCAGTGCACTTAAAATTTTGTTACAAATAGGTTATAGATATCTTAATATAAAACATATTTTAATATAAACATCTATAGAATGACAAGATTATTTTAGGGATATATTATACACTATTTGAAGTAGTTTTTCAATTTTTAAACAGTGTTTCATGCATTCATTCAACAAATATTTTTTGAGGGCCTATAATGTGCCAGGCATTACTCTATGTGCTGGAAATTCATAAGTAAATAAAACAGTTAACAATTCTTTAAATTTACAAAGTTAATTTCAGAATTCTTTCATTGGCAGAGGAATTTTTATTATTTAGTAAATGTATTACACTCCATATATCATGACTCAATATTTTCTCTTGAGGCATAAATGTAGTGTAGATAATAAAACTGTATATATTTAACTTTGGTATACTGTAAACAGTCTTGGTACAACATAAAAAGTGATGTAGGAAATACAAACCACAATCACTATCTAATTCAACAACTTTCTTTCCTAGAAAGTCAAATTTAATAACTGAAAGATCATCATAAATATGAAATGAAATATATGATGATAAGTATCACTAGACTAGGTGTACATCTTCAGTGACATAAACACAGACTGCAATTGATATCTTTGGTTAAAAGTCCACGACATATAGAATTCTGCTTGAAAGGCAAATTAAAATTTTTAGAAACAGAACATTTTATCTTGTCATTTAAAGGAAGTTCAACTCTTTGCATTCTTAGTTGAATGAATCAAAGAAACTTAACTCCTTGGTATAATTTCCAAGTAAAACAAAAGTTGAATACCAAAAATCATAAAAGAAAATCATTTACCATATATAAAAGCCTACACAATGGAGGGACATCAATTGCAGTTGGGTTTATTTTTGCTTACACAGCCCCCCAAAAAGGCTGTCAGCACAAAACAAACCCTCCTTTATGTACAGACCTTCATAAGGTTCTATCTCCTTGACTCCATTGTCTAGGAAAAACAAAATAAAAACAAAACAAAAAAGGGAACCAAAGCACAGGGGTTAAAAACAACAGAAATTTCCAAAGGCACAAAATGTATGTATCATCCATTAAAGAAAAGTTAAATGGTGATTTAAATATATATATATATGTATTTTTTTGGCAAAGCACATCCAGTTACTAAATAAAGGGACCATTTAAAAAATGAGGTTAAAAATTATTATATTCTATCATCCATGCTTTTAGAGGTCCTTTATCTAAGAATTTATAGATGTTTGGGGAGTATGCTCATCTGTGTATAAACAAATAGTGTTTCTTAGGCAAAAATTTGAAAGGATTAAAAATATCAGTACAACATGCATCTTTCTTTGTATATTCATGATTACCTTTTCTCTGGTACTCCAGTTTTGAGAAGGATCACCATTGTTGTGCATCAGCTAACCAGTCCTTTGCAGTGTGTGAAAATTGATTTGGCTAGTTACTAATAAACTTTATGTAACTATCAACAATTACATACACTTAGTTGTAGCAAAGAAATATCATCCAACTGCTTATTTAAGAGTATTAAGTTTACTTTTTAAAATGCATTTATTCAGATTTTGAAAATGTGCAAGAGCAATAACAGTAGGTTATTTTACCTCCAAATATTACAAATTTTAAATGCAAAATATATAACATTTATAAATATATTTATAAATATAACTACTAGCAAATGCGGCTAAGGCGTTCAATTAACAAAAGAATGCTAACACAAAGGTAGTAAAAAAAATCTTGATTCACCTTAGCTTCCATGTGTATTTCCTACATGACATAATTAGAAATAAAACTTACTTCTCTCCAATGTTCCCTTTGGCGGAAGTTGTGGAAGTTGCCGGCCCCTTCGTCCTGCCACTGGAGTACTTGATGGGCTGGTTTGGACTGACCCAGTACGAGGATGAGACCTACAAGATACACCATCGATGCTCATTTTCAGTAGGATGAATGAAATAATTTGAATACATTTGGTTCATATGATAGTTGTGCAAGTGCAATTTTAAAAGAGGTGTAGCTGCTGATTAAAAGGTTAGGAAAGTAGGACAAAATATGGATATTTGAATGATTGTCGAAAGATGTTTCTACTTTTGTGTCATATGCATACATACACAGATACATGCACACAAAATCCTACAGTAACGTCCATGGAATTGTTCATGTAAATTAGTATTCTATCCATTCGAAAGCAACAGGAGAGTTCTGCAGCTCAAAACATAAAAGGTAATGTTTTACATTTCTTTCTACCAGATTTTAAACTCTCAGCACTACTAACCTCCCTCCCTTGATCCAAGGAGATTTTTACTCAGGCTTATATGAGATATCCCTTTATTAGAAAATATCTCCTGAAACTACAAATAAAACCCTGAACAATTCAAAATTCAACTAAAGAAGGTACTGGTTAATACATGATATTAGTATTGATAGAAAGAAACAAAAATCTAGTTTTAGTTATTGTCATTATGATGATTATTCCAAAAGTGATGTCTAATGGACACAAACAATTTCTCATTCTGTAGGAGAAGAACATGATAGTTATGAGGTGCATTATGGGGGGATTTACCCAGGACTCCTGATAAATGAGAAATCACAAAACGAATGTGGTCAGGACAGTTAAAAACAAATTACAATGGTAGCCACACACTATTATATCCACTGAATATAAATAGTGTGCTTACACTGAAAAGGTTAGTATCGATTGTTATTAGTGATCAGCCAAGGATGATAGAAGAGACCATTTAGCTGCTGGGAAAATAAATAGGTGTGCTGGTGGGGCAAAGGGGAGGTTAGTCTGATTGATTTATCTTTCACCTCGATAAGGCAGGTGAAGGAGGGGCAGATCTTCCAGTCATTAATGAAGGCATCGACCTCATGAGGTTTGTATCAGGACGCTCAGTGGATCTGGAGCGGGTGGTGGTCCGCTCTAGGAGAGGCCGTTGTTCTGTTGATCTGGATCTGTGATATGGCTGTCTATCTGCTGCTTCACAATCCCTGAAACGTTAGTCAAAAAGCAGCTCAGTTGATCTTTAGTGCCCTTCTGCTATTTGGTTATGATGCATCAAATTGATTTTGAAAAAGGTCATTGTTTAATATTATCGAATTTGCAAAAACATATTCTGAGCAATTTTCACTAAACTTCTTCAGCATATCTAAGGAAACCAAAATCTGCCTTTAACAGCAATTCCCAATGAAGCTACTAGGAGTTGCTCAGTTATCATCAGTGACAAACGAAATTGCCTGCTTTCCAAAATGAGCTCCCTAAATGGAACAGGTGAAATATGTGAAGTATTCTATTTCAAAGAATTCAATGGCTTTTCCTAACATTTTTCGTAAGAGTGAAGAAAACCATATAAGCATTAATTCTAAAGCCACTAAGGTTATTATATGTCAACTGAGCTATAAAAAGGCTTTAGGCACAAAAATAGTATATTGATGCACCCAAACATTCTAACAGAAGAATCGAAATGTTGTAAGAGAACACTGCAACTTGGCAGGCTGTAGTCCTACTAGTCATACTTAAACACATGGTCCACAGGAAGAATCACAGACAACTGGTTAATCAGCCAGTCTATGCCCCATATCTTGGGGCACTTTAGCAATGCCAACCGATACCATTCAGAAATGTATTAACAGATCAAAAATAATAATGGTTCTGAAACAATGGGATCTCTTTGACCACAAGTAGGACCAATATCAAAACCGAACCCTTGTTGAAAGAAGTATACTTAAATTTCAGGAACCCATCATTCCTGACTTTTGTATCCCTGGAATTTAGCATGCTTTTAACACCTAATGTGTGATCAATAAATGTTTTCCAACACCAGCCCCACTATCTGCGAGACAACCCTAAGAACACAATTTTGGCTCGAGAGCTCCAAAGTAACACATACGCCAAATTATACTTCAAACTGTGCCCTCCCCATCTAGTTGTAACCATAGAAATGGAAATGCTTACATATTATGGACTGTAAAAACAAGCATTAGTCTCCCCCAAGACTAATGTAAACAACTTCCACTTCACCTGTAAGTTCTCCCAATCTCATTTTTGATAATGAAAAATGCGGGCAATTAAAGAAAAACAAGAAAAGAAAGGACACAATTTCCCACATGTATTTAATTATATGGCATATAATTTTGGACCAGCAGACATGAGATTAGATGACTTTAGGAAGTGAATGCTGGGTTTATTCTACAATATAGCTTGTCATTCTCTTACACTTTAAATTTACAAGGTAATAATACATCAGTCAAATCATTCTAATATTTTAAAATCCATGTGCCATGATATGATTGATTTCCTAAGATAAATTTAGTATTTTAATATAAGTATATCCAGGATATGTCAAAAAAGCTGACATATACAAAGTGTAAATACATACACAATATTCAATTACTTTCAAAGAGAGATATAAAAAAGGCAACCTGATGGTATAAAAATTTATAGTTCTATTTCTGTTCCTGAAAAACTATTTGAGAGAGAACACTTTTCTTTAGAAATAAATGTGCTAAATAGTTTGTTAAATGTTTTTAGTGTACATATCTTTGTATAGCTTCATCACAGTACATAAGCAGAAGCAAAGGAACATATATATATATATCTTAGATTCCTTAAAACCTATTTTTTTAGAGAGTACCAATCTTTACATTATTTTCAGATTTCCTATTATCTTAAGTTAATAATAAACTTATCTTATTATATGACATGTAGTGACAAAATTTTGTGGAATGTCTTTGACTACCCCAGCAGAAAAGCAGGCTAATCTTTCCTGTATTTATGCAAAATTTGATTTATTCTGATTCCATCAAGCAATTTTCCCAAGTGAAAACTAAGATGTTAGGATATATACTCTTACTTCTTTGACACTATATTTTAAATAATTGAAATACATGATTGTGAGTGAAATCCAGAGAATTATTTCAAATTTGTTGCTATGTCCTTAAAAGGATACTGTTACTTTTATATAAAGCAAACAGGTCACTCTTTAGGAAATATCCCTTATTAAAATTTCTCTTTAGCGGAAAAGTTGTTTGAAGACTATGTCAATGTTTTAAATTCTGCTTGTAATTCTTCTCTCCATATTCATAAATAATATGAATTATATGATTTCCATAGTGAAAGGAAAATTGGTTGATAAGTGAAACACAGACATACACAAAAAACCCACAGTAGAAGGTAGCAATTTCCTAAAATGTCTACCATAGTTAAGGGGAATGAAAAGCTACCATATTTTAAACTTAGATAACACAATAGAAGATCAACACAGGCTCCTGCTCCCACAATTGGGTGAGAATAAGCCTTCCTAAGTAGGAACTAAGACAATTACTTAGAAAATTGAAAGCAGCAATGCCTATGTCTTACATATAACACCCAGTCTTATAGCAGGTTCTTTAAGGGAATGAGATATAAACCTTGACAACTTCTACCTAAATTCTTAGTGAATTTTAGTTTTAAGATAAGAACTTAAAAGTAATTAATTTTGAATGATAGCAACTGAGATGTGGGAAATATGCATTTACAAGGCATAAAATATTTTAGTGCCTAAACTTTGATTCTTAACTTGGGGTCTATATTTCAGTGTAAGTAGTTTTCTTTGTACCTCCACTTAATTTATTTTATTTTACTTTAGGCATTTTAAAACACTCTTCTAAAGAATGGCCATAAGTTTTCCAAGACCGCCGAAGGGCAAGCCATATAAAATGTTAGGAACCATGCATCTCTAGATTTAAATCTTTCTTAAGGTAAATAATTTTGCTGTCTTTTAAAAAGTGATATCATTTCTAGTAACTTGCTATCTTTCATGGTTCTATTTTTTAATAAATAGTTTATAATTTGTAACATATGTGTAAAATAGTTCAGATTTTTGCATGCATCATTTACCTGGATAAATACCAATTACCGCTCTGCATTATTTAGGGGCTCCTATTCCAAGTGGCAAGCGTTTGCAGAGGACCTGTTTAATAGCCCTTCCACAAACAGAGCTAATTCATCTTGACTGATAATACCGTAACAGGAGCCAGTATTGTAACAACTCAGTTTTATTATTTTTTTTATTTTTTATAACTCAGCTTTAAAAGCCTATAATAGCACAGATAGACATTGAGCTGAGGATTTCTAAGGGAAAAATAATTTTATAATCATCTTGTAAAGTTGTCCATTTTGAGTTATTTTTCCCTTCACTATAGTTGCTCTTAAGACTTTTTAAATTTCCAAGTATCTGGCACAGCTTTCTACTTATTTCATTTACTTTTCCTATTCTCAATTTACTTTTCCTATTCTCAATTACAGCACAATGTAACAGGGAAGAATAAGGCAGTGGGCCTTCTTTTCTATAACCACTTACATTCGACCATCACAATGATTCAACTCCATAAAAACAAAAGCTCAATGTAGAGCATCTCTGTAGGTATGACAAAAGAATACTAAAAATACTCAAAAAAAAAAAAAAGAGAGAAAGAGAGAGAAAGAAAGAAAAGAAAAAACAACACCAGCACAACACAAAATTTCAAAGTAATTTGCAGATATTAGTGAAAATTATCCTAGAACTTATAGTCTATGATAAATTAGACAGGCTCATTTCACACTTAGATTGTAAAGATGCCATAAATAAATGTAAAAGGTTTTCTTAAAAAATAAACTTGTAAAAAGTGAAGCTATTCTTTTTTTCCTTTTCATAAAGAAATTATTTCTCTAATGCTGAAATCTTATATTAAAAAAATTTTCAATGTATCTCTAAAGGACAACAAGTACATCTCTCATTTGGGGTAAGAAATGTCTTCTTTGTATCCATATTGTGTAATACAGTAAGCTGATTAACAGCAGAAGCATTACACTTTTGATAAAATATATTGAATGTCTAGAGATTTTCTGAGAATTAACTGCATAACTGAAGAAGTAAATACAGGATAAAATTTTAAAAATAGACGTTTTAGGGTAATTAACAAAAAATATATATTTATATAATATAACAAATCATTTAAATTCTATGACTCAACTCTATAATTTTCATGCTCATCATAAATTATAATGTACAAGTTAACTTCTTAAAAACTCTAGTTTATATTATTTTAGTATTGCTTCCAAGGTAAAGAGAATTGCAAGACACACAATACTCACCATGAAAATCATGGTAAATAAAGAAAGAGATACTGTGTACAGATAGGAACACTTTTATTATCCTGGTGGAAGATAGATTAATTTATCCTTAGGCATGATAGCAACTCTTTACAGAACATTTCTGCTCATTTAAATGTAAATTCTGTATGTTAGTTAAAAGTAAGTGAGTTTATTCAAAAATAATAGCAGTATCTAGTGTTAGCCAAGTTAACAACCTAAGATGTGAAAACAGCAATAATACATATAGTGAGGTGAGAAAGTAAGACACTTCTAATGTAGGAAAACATATTACTGTTACTGATAAGCCTAGTTTATCATCAAAAAGAGAAGTAAACTGTTCTCATATCTAGAGATGCATTTTTCTTAGAAATAGGAGATAGCAAGAAGAAAAGATTATATATCTCAATTTCCTGAAGAAAATTAGGGACAAATGCAATACTGAAAAATAAAGATATATTGTATTATTAAATATACACACACAGAAACATAAAATCTGTAAATGTCTTGAGGATATTTTGAGTATTCTATTAAATATTTATAAGATTCACTGTTATTTTTTACTTCAAAAAATAACAGAAACAAAACCACAAATAAGCAGGGTTATTTACTCAGCAGCAATTAACATGCAGCAAATTAATACATCTTTAAAATATATTTTTTAAAAATCCTGAGATATATAATTACCATCAATAATCTATAAAATTCTTACTTTACTAAATAGATAATTTTCATTGTCAGTGGATGTTCAAGTTTAATAACATTTTGTCAATTGTAAAAAATTATTGTTATTCCACTACGGTAGGGGATCCCTATGCTTTCCCTTCCCAGGTCCTCAAATTTTCCATAAAATAACAAACATTTTAAAGACGTATGTCTA